ATATATATCTCGTTATAGAGTACATACAGTGCTGATGGAATTTAACAAAATTATTTTCATGGATGGAGGCACAACAGTTTGATTAAATCATTACAGTAGAACCTCGTTTTTACGTACCCCAGTTATACGAACCCTCGGTTTTACGTACGCCTCGTATCGACGAAAAACCCCGGAAATATTCAAAACAAACTGCCCTTTTCAGAGCAACCATAAGTAAAAAGACTATAACAATAAACTATAACAATAAACAATCCATAATGCAACGTATTTTCATTAAACAGCAACGTTGATTGAGTCTAATACCGGGTTGTTATAATCTAAAACCACGTGAACTGAGTGAGATGAACAACTACCGATGGTGTTCAAAATAATTCGTTCCCCTTTAAGTTCGTGTGGCAAACCATGGAAACACTTGTCTGGTTGAATTTTTTACACGAAACTGATTAGGCATAGTTTCGCACACGAATGCTAATTGGTTGGCTCGCCCAGTGCAGTGCTCATGGTTGCTGTTTCACGTACACGAACGCTAATTGGTTGGCTCGCCCAGTGCAGCGCACATGGGTTTAGTTTGTCTCAACAGGCCCAGACAACACCACAGCTCTGTTGTTTAAAATAGGCATGAAGGGGAATTCCAAAGTTACTGTATACCTTTATTGTATAGGTAATCTTACAATATTTTCATGTTCTTTAGTTAAATAAATGATATAAAGTGATGAATTAATACAATAGACACATGGTTTTTTTTAACACTTTATTATGACATCGTAAAGTGATAAATAAAAACACTAAACACATGGTCTTATTCGTAGGCCTAGAGGCTTGGTCTAGCCTAGCTAGGTAACATCGTTCGTTCATACATACGTATATTGAGCGTTACATACGTATTAGGTCAAAGGTTACCACAAATTTAACCCAACCTCTATTATACGAATCCCCCAATTTACGTACGCCCTCCGGTCCTGTACCGTACGTAAAATCGAGGTTCTACTGTACTATTAACTAAGTGATTGTATAAGCAGACATGATTACCAATTTATCAGTTTAGTAAGAAGTGAAAAAAGTGCACACTAGCAAAAAGCACTTAGCCATGGAGCTTGACAACCAAATGTAGTGTGCCAGCCCTCTAGCAGATACCACTTACCTTTGCAGCTTGGCTACCAGTTCAAATGAGCAGAAGTTGACCCATGATGTCATAATCTAGTTAAGCACTTACCCCTGTGGCTTAGCAGGTGAACATCGTTGACCCAAATAAGTGAGCGCACTCTAATAGCACTTAAATCTGCAGCATTTCAAGCCATTACAGTAAGTGCTCCCTCTAGAAGGGAATGAAGCTTAGCAATTCAATAACGATGAACCACTGAGTGAGTGCACTCTAGTAGGAAATTAACACTGCAGCTTAAACAGAGCAGAAACTCTAGCAGGCACTTACCCCCATCCTTTCTTTTTATATTGGTCAGCTACATCTTGTAAAATTTCCAAGTATTTGTTTCTACCAGCAGCTCCAGTATCTAAGATGTCTGGTAGAACAGAAACCACACAAAGAGGATTAGCTGCAGCTGTGTCTAACACTTCCTTATTGATGATCTGTGTGATTAAAAAAAAAGTGTAAACATACAGTAAACTAGTACTTGATGAGTGTGGGTATGGTGTAAACATGGCTTCTTCAACGACCTTATTAATGCAGTTATGTTGTAAATATGCTCCTTCTATGAGGACCTCAATGATATAGACTCTATGTACATGTCGTCTTTTTTTATATATTTTTTCAATTCTAACCATTTCAATTGAAACTCTTGAATTTACAGACTTTCTTTCAATGGTTTTTCAGCATCAGCAGATTAATACATTTTTCTGTATGTTATATGGTGTGAACATGCATATCATAATCATTGACCTTTGAGGTGGGGTCGGATGTAAATAGGATATATTTATAGACCTCTAGTTGTAGAATAAGAAAATGCCTATACCAGGGAGATCTCAATGTGTAGGAAATGAGGTATACATGATATACCTACACTATTTGAAGAAATACACAAACTTAAAATTACATGATTAATAAATAATTACATGATTCATCGATCAAGACGATTCACATTTTAGGGTGTGGTAAGGGATAAAGTAGACACTCTGTAAAGAGACGTGTAGTATAGAAAGTTCAAAATGCTTACTTCAAGAACCTCTGGGGGTGGCAAAGTCTCTGCGAATTTATCCATTGCCCAGTTAACAATGTCACCTGAAGTACGACCTCCATTGAAATCTTCAGCTTCGCCGTTCTTTTTACCATGAGCAAAATATTTAATAGTTGGGTATCCACGAACCTATTATTGAGAGTGGGTAGAAAAAATAATAATTATGAAATTTAAATCAATAACACATACATGACGTATTACTTATATTGAGAATGACAATAACAAATATTTTTGTTGCATTAAAATTTGTACTGATTCTTTCTGTTCTGACTGCTGTGTGTTTGAAAGTGTATAGTACAGTCTGTGAGGAGTATAGATAAATGATATACTATACACTCGTGAGAGGAGTGTAGAAAAATGACCTTTTGGGACTTTCTATCTAAATGTACATACCCCATATCTTCCAGCTACAATTGTATGAACCGTCGCATCAAGGGCTCCAAGCTTCACTTTGCCCTTGAGTTGAGTAGCAGCGCTGTCCCATTCTGGGGCCAGGTTCTTGCAGTGGCCGCACCAAGGCGCAAAGAACTCAACCAACCAATGGTCTTCACTTCCTATAACCAGCTCTTCAAAGTTGGAATCGGTCAACTCTATAACATCCTTTCCATCTCCTTTTTTCTGCTTGAAGAATTAAAAATTTGCTGCAGTATTTCTTTTTAATTTGAAAGTATATTAATACTACAGTATTCATACAAAAATTCCCCCGATAGAGAAACTTTGCTCAATTGGCAGCATAAATTCTATTGCACGTACGAATACAATAAATACGCAAGAATCTGTGTTACAACATTTTACAAGTTCTTACATTTCTGCAATTGTGAATGTGTATAACAGATATAACTTAGTTAATATGTATAACTTACTGTATTCACATCAAGATCATTTAAAACAACCACTCATCAATAACTTATTTGTCTTCAATAACTTATTTGTCTTCATTTACCTGTCCCCCGCCTGATCCCCCGCTGCCTCCTCCACTTGACTTGCTTCCTCCTCCACTGGATTTCTTGCCTCCAAGTCGATCCTGGACAATTTGTGTAGCCACTTTTAAGGCTTCAGATGTAATAGCATCTGCTGTTCTTCCTCCTACAATAAGGAAATAAGGAATGTGGTAACAATAAAAATAATAATTTATGGATTTATTATTATTAATTTTAACTATTCTGCTAACAGATATATCTGGTGGTCATTGACGTAAATTGGTTACTTTGACACTTTTGCAATGAGAAAGTAGGACTAATTATGTTAAATAGTGTTATTTAGGCCTATATTAATATGGAGAAATAAGTAAATAAACAGGGTACATTTTTATTTTACATAAATTTTACGGTATATTCATTGTTGTTTATTATCATTTAATTGTTATATAACAACAATTCATTAATGTTTTATTTTAATTTATAAAGCGCCTAACACTGGATTGGCAAAAATGGGCAACAAGAGAATATATAAAAAAACAGAAAAATATATGATGTGTGATTTGACCAGAAGAAAAAGGATGGTGTTAATGAACTTTTAAAAGTTAATCACATGATAGTAACTTTAAAAGGTAGGAAGAGTTGTGGAATTTCTTATTGTTATGTAATATACACTTATATAACAATACAGAGAGAGATGAGGAAGTGAGAGAGAGCAGCAGTTGTAATAGATTGGTCATTGAATCCCTCCTAGGAGAGAGGTAACAATTATAAGCAGAAGGTGATTGTGAAGCAGAGAATGGGAAATAAAAATAAAAGACGTTCTTTAATATGGGACCTCAGAAAAGTGGTCTTTAATTGGAGGTGGTCTTCAATCGGAGGGATATTTAACTGGAGGGGTATTTAACTGGGGGGGGGGGGGAATGTAGTATGCATGTCACTCCTAAGCAATCAGGAATAATACTTTACACTGTTTTGTTCATAAACATTTAAACCTTTGTTTGAAAAATAGTATAGTTCTATTATATTGTTTAATGATAAAAATTTAAAGCACTGGCGAAATGGATTGAACAATGGTATTTTTCTTGCATCACATAAATTCCACAAATAGTAGAGTACCTGGCTATGATTTGTATGCACTTAATTTAGGAGAGAATATCTCAACTGTTATAGTCTTATATGAACCCTATGAACAACATGGGATGTGTGCAAAAATCTCTATCTGGCAAACAGCTGCGTTTATCATTGTAAGTGCTACTTTAAACTGTAGATCAGACAGTATGTACACATTGCAGACAATGGTTTTTCTTCTATAAAAGAACACATATGATGAGGGGATCAAATTTCAGAAATCTCACCTTGGTCACAAGTCCCATTCAGATTATCTAGCCTACTGTTTAAGATATAACTTTTTTTAAAAGGGGCGTCGCCCCTACATTCTGCATATTTAAGCTAATTTTCATATGAACTGGACAAGTGACCAGTGTTATTTCTGAAATTGTATCCCCTCATCATCTATGTTCATTTATAAAAGAAAAACCCTTGTTTACAATATGTTCAGATTAGCCTACTGTTTAAAGTAGTACTTTCAATAAACAAAAGGGGCCTGGCCCCTATTTTGCATTTAAGCTGATTTCAATATGAACAGAAGTTGTGACAAAGACTTCCTGAAATTTGATCCCCTCATCATAATGTGTTCTTTTTATAGAAACATCATTGTTTGCAATACGGCCATATTGTCTAGCCCCTGTTTAAAGTAGCACTTGCAATGAAAAAGGGGTGTGGCCATTTTAAAAGGGTGTGGTAATTTTCGGGATGTTCATCCCGGATACAGAGATTTTGGCACACATCCAATGTTGTTTCTTGGGTTCAAATTAGTCTACATTATAACAGTTAAGATATTCTCTCCTAAATTAAATGTATACAAATCTGGTCAGGTCCTAGACTAAAAAGGATTCTGAAAATAAAGGATTTTAAAATGTACAATTATAAAATTACCTTGATAATCTGTGGGTTTTTTCTTGTTGCTTCCAAATACTTTAATAGTTGGAAATCCACGGACATTGTATGGTTGACCAACAGCTTGGTGGGCCGTCATATCAACTGCACCGACGTTAACAATGCCCTAAAATCAGTCAAACAATTGTCCAAAGTTAATACAACTAATGCAACATTTATACAACCAGTATCAATCTTAATGATAATCATAATGATTAACCATCATCATCATGTCTAGCATCATCATTATCATGTTTGTCATGGTCTTGAATACATTTATAACTTTGCAAGCAATTTCCCTTAGATATATCACCATGTTTTAGGAACTGAAACTCACTTTTTTGTATTTTCTTTAAGACCTGTGTTAAGGTCTTTCTTCCTAAAACAGCGATATATCTTAGGTAAAATTGAAAGTAATAGTTGTTTTTGTGTAGAATTTCTTAGTCTATTATGGGAGTCAAATAATAACCACCAAACCTCTTTAAGGTGAAATAATTGAATGGGATATTAAATAATTCAGAGTTGACCATTTTAATTTAACTATGTTAATCACAATTATCAACTAATAAGTGGTTTATTCATAAGTACATATGCTTATGAAGGTTAAGAGTAAATTCCAATAACCAGGATACAGGCACTTCCTTATAAGGGATTACTACTATTCCACAAAATTCTATGCACAAGGTAAACTCAGCAAAGCCTATAAACTGCATGATAGCATGGTGTTGTAATTTGGGGTTATCATATTGTTAATTGTTCCAATTAAACTGTGCTGCAAATGTACATTCTCATGTATGTTGTCATCACCATGTGAGCAACATTCTAAATTCTGAATCATTAAAAGACACAAGACTCTCTGTGCTCTGCCAGAGTGCTCTTGATAATGTACCACCCTTGAATTGAAGCCCTGGTCTTCTTTTTTTTTTGCGAACTTGGGATGGGCTTCTTTCGAGGCACTTTTGCAAAGTAAAGAGGGGGGCTTCTTTTCAAAATAAATGCAGTATATTTTTTGAATTTTTACTATAAAACAATAGGGCCACTGCTGTAACATCATTCTGTATCATGGAGTACATTAACCAGCATTAATCACCTAAACCACTGTATATACCAAGCATGTTTTTTATTTTATTTTGTTTCTTTGAAATTCATGTAGTGTATGCTTCTTTTCGAGATGAACTTCTTTTCGAGGCTAATTTTGCAAACTAAAGGGGCGGGACTTCAATTCGAAATGGGCTTCTTCTCGAGATTAAGACCACTGGGCTTCAATTCAAGGTTTTATGGTATGTTTATAAAGTTCTGTTCACATTATAACGTTTATGAGTATGATGATGTCCTAATGTGGCACAAACCACAGATATTTGTCAAGTTTTGATAGTGTGGACATAGCTTCAAACCAACTCCATTTCAGCACAAAATACATTTTAAATTTGGTTTTACCTTGAGAGCAGTAGCTGCTTTGTTCCATTCTGGTACAAGGTTTTTGCAATGGCCGCACCTGAGCAAAAATAGTAAGGTGTTTATAAAATATTTCTAGAGACTAGATCTATTTATTGACTATATACTTCTAAAACTAACAAAGTTTCCTAAAATGATGTATCAGATATCTATTACTACTGTAATTCCTCGGGTATAAGCCCAACCCCTAATTTATGCCAAATTTTGTGTACCAGCCTTTCCTCAGGCAAAAGCCCAGGGTAAGAGAAATATTCTCAGAAAAAACATATCAAGTACTGGTTTTGAATTTAAATTAGGCAAACAGTGCCATTCAATTGCCATTGATTATAGGGATTCCCCACATATAAATAAGCCCACTAACAGAAATTGGCCCAATGTTGTGTTCAAGAGGG